TAAATCTTTCTATTGAATAAAGACGCGGAAACAGTGATAACCTCTTTTTTTTCTGTGACTTTTTCCGGACATTTTCCTGTGACATTTTTTTCTGTGATTTTTTTTTTACTTGGATTCCTTTTCATAGTTCATGGCGCTATTTTGTGTTAATGAAAAAACAAACGAAAAACAAAAACAAAAAAAAAAAAAAACAAAACAAAACAAAAACAAACAAACAAACAGAATACTTAAGGCAATGAAACTTTAGTCCTCTTGAAAATACCCGAACCTCGTTCACTTAGCCCTCAGTGTTGTCTCTCTGCCTACAGATAGATAGACAGATAGATAGATAATGGCTTCTTATTATCTTGTGTGGTGAAATTCCCGCGAATTAACTGTTATATCAAGGTGGCGCAACTGGTTCCTGAGATATTCAAAATGGTTGATTACATTCCGTCACAGATCTCGAATGTCTCAGTGTGCACGTGGAAATGCACTCAAGTTGAACTTAATGGACCATTTCGAGGTTACACTTAATATCGGGTTAAACGTAAGACGATATTTCCGTTAAATAATCCACCCGAACCACCCTAACATATCTCGGGTGTTAGATGTGAGTCTAAAATGAAAATTATTATTCAAACATAAGCAACAAAAGGGATTGCTGAATAGGCAGGAGAAGCACAAAAGAACGCTTTGGTTGTCGAGAAAAAAAATGGCAACCTCAGAATTTCTCCCCGAAATTACATGTACATGTACGCAAACAGATTAGCCATTTCTATTTACTTTCTCTACGCTTTTATTTTTATCGTTGTTGTCTGCAAATATGCAATTCTGAAACGACAGAAGATTTGCTAAGAAAGGTGAAATGCTCTAAGACCCTGAACGAAAATTTATCGTGTAAGACTCAGAAATCAGTACACTTTCTATATATTTTCGCCTGATGAAATTCCGTTCACTTTTTTTGAGGACCGTCACTCCAGACCAATTTTATCAAAAGATCAACTACTTGACGAAATCAAATCCTGGTGAGATTCGAATTCAAGTCTTATAGTCGGACTGTTAACGTTCGAAACACTGGGCGACACAATCTAACCAAACGCGTGCGATTCTAACGCAGGGCAACATTGGAAAGTGACTGAAATCCATTACAACGAACTAACCTAAGCCGAGTGAGTGAAATATTGGCTAGACGAAATTGTTCGGGAGACATCTATAGTTTTGCTAGCATGAATTCACAAGTCATCGTGACCGAGGATTTGAGTGCATTGGCTTTTTTCTTAACTTTTGATCATGCCAAGTTATGAGCTCTCTCCCAGAAACTGTAACCCAAGTCTGCTCAGAGTAATTGCTATATGAACCACAAGTGAATGTGAATGTTGATAAAATAAAAATGTGTCTGAGGGGTCGTCTGAAATAGGGATTAGTTAGCCCGCCTAAACAAACTGGTATACTCAAGAACAAATAAGAAGTCATTATCTATCTATCTATCTATCTATCTATCTATCTATCTATCCGGTTCTTTTAATCCAATGAATCTATCTATCTATCTATCTATCTATCTATCTATCTATCTATCTCCACCGAGGATTATCCACAATTTCCGGTTCTTTATAGCTATTAATAAATTTTGTTTTTTTGTCATTTCTTCCCTAACCTTGTTCCGCCTTTCATTTACTGAAGCTCTATAAATATTTCATGCGTTGTTTTCCCCTGTCCATCTTGCCTTCAATCTGTCCAGTGAGTATCAAATTTTCCAAGCCCTTTCATTATGTGCCCTACAAATTTCAATTGTCGCTTTTTGATGTTGAATGTAATTTTCGTTTTTGTTTCCATTTTCTCTAAAAACATATCGCTGTTCACATGCATTTTCAGCATCGTTCCATGAGCCACATTTCTTTTCCTTTAGTTTTCTCATTCATCTGTGAGGAAAATATCCATCATTCACTGCCATATAGGAGGACAGATATTGCATAACAGTTCTGTACCTTTTTCTTTGTTTCTAACGAAATCCTTCTGTTTCTTAATACTTAGCTTTTATGCGGCATTTTTTGACTAATCCCAATGACCCTTTAGATTTTCAGTATCGCAATTTCCATCTTGTTTTAAAACACTGCTCATGTATTGAAATCTTGTACTTTCTATCCCCAGTTTGTAATTTGCATGTTGTGTTGTTCCTTTTGTTAATAAGGAAACATTTTCTCAATTGATGTTTAGTCCTTCTTGCTTTCCTTCATTACCTTCTATGGTTGATTGTATTTAGTTTTCTTTCTATGTCTGCTATCAACACTGTGTCATCTGCATATCTTAAGATTGTGACCGAGAATAATGAATTCTGCTAGGACTTCTAGTTCTCTAAGAATCGCTTCGCTGTGTTGGTTAAATAAATCTGGTGAGAAGACACATTCTTGTTGTACAACGCTTTCTAGTTTTCTATATTTACTGAATTCATTTTTTATCAGTATTTTGTCGGTTTTATTAGATTGTTCAGTTTTCAAGTATGATTTTTTATTGACAACATTTTAAAAGTATGTAAAATAATAATAACGTGAACTAAGCACATATGGACTTTCATTAGAAGATAGAAACAGGAAGATATGGATTCGCCTTAAAAGGTATGGATTCGCCTTAAAACGGCTGTTAAGAGATTCACTCTGTGGGCGATCGTTGAAAAACGTTCCGATTAGAGGCGGCTTCACGCTCCTCAAAACCCCGCAACCAGAGTCCCCGCCGCCGGACGCAGCTTACTGTCTTACCCTGGACGCGGATGTAGTTTATCGTCATACCCAGGACGAACAATAATAACTATTGTGAAGCTGGTAATAATGATATTTACACTATTTACATAGTTTGAACTCTTGTCCTTATCATTATTGCCATATTCAAGACGTTTCGACTGTTGTACGCTCAGGTCTTCTTCAGGTGATTTATGTTGGAATTTCGAAACGAAGTCTTTATTTAGTCTACGGGGTGGGGTAGATTGTTCTAATTCCACATGCCATGCCTTTCAGTTTTAGTTAATTCCCTTTAGTAAATTATCCTTCCAAGTTTTTGTTCCCTCTGTTGTTGCAGCCGGTTTCTCCTAAAGTTTTCAATACGAAATTGAGTCTAGGAAATGTAAAACAAATAGAGAATCAAAATTCAAACCAAACCTATTTGAGGCATGTTTCTTTTCGAATTGAAGGAGTGTCAGGCCAATTTTAGTCCTACTTATTTCGTGTTAAAATAAAAATAATTTTTCTCTTCTTTACCGGAAGTGAATCTCATCCGGATTTCGTGTTAGATATCAGATACTTTTTAGTGTGTAAGCATCTTGTCATAGTGATTTTCCAAGCGTACCTTAGATGTGGTACAAGGCCGAAATTAGGAGGCACCCAGTGAGGATCGAACTCACTACTCAGTCGTAATTGCTTTAGCGAGCCAAGATTGCTAACCATTACACCACCTCGAGGTGCCCTAAGCATCGCGTCATAATTTCAGTTCTATATAACGTCTGTTACATTAAATCATAGAAAACTCATGTTTGAGACAGAACCAAGACGAAACGTGGCCGGCGTTTATTAGGTACGGGAAGAAAATGAATGAAAAAGGGTTTAGGGAGAAAAGGAATGTATCTGGGAGTGAGAATCAAGTTCCTTATCGTCGATTAGGGAGTATACATTAAACTGTAATGCAAAGGGAGTATTCATTAAACAATAATGTAACAACGTCTTTAATAGAGAAGGCGGATATTTAAGCATCAAAATTCCGGCATAATTTACAAAATTGATTACCCCCCTCCCGTCTAAATCATACTAACTCTTCCCCACTCTTTTATATTTGGTTGAGAATGATTTTCGTCTTTAATTTTCCAAATGTATTTTGACAGGGCAATGTTGCTACAATATTTTCTCAACTTGAAGGATGTTACATGGTTATTATAACTCCATTTGTAACAAGCTTTCGGTCGAACCAATGTAAGCCATCGTCGCCTACATGTCACCCCTTACCAAAATGTAACGAGAGCAATAGAACAAGTGATACATTAATACAAAGCATGTGTACTGGATTCAGTTTATTTACTTACATTGACGAAATGAAGATCTTTCGTCATGTGTGTGTTAACATTGTAGTTTTGGGAATTCCTAGCCCGGAAGACCGTTTTCGTAATGACTTCTTGGGTGACTGTCGCACAGATGCTTCCACCTCTGCACATGTGTCCCTTCGGGTTGAGGGTTGTCCTGTCCTCGGTTTGTCCTTAATGGATCCTGTGAGAAACAGTTCCCATCGCAGTATCGTCCTCTTGCCTAATCTTGCAGTGAAGTCATGTCGCACGTCCTCCATGCTCTTGTCAGAATGCACATGATTATGTGCCCATACAGCAGCTTCTCTTCCAAAATGTAGAAACTCGTGTCAGTTAGCTGAAATAGAAAATTATATTATGTAAGGGTGACATGACTTTCGGACCACTCTGTAGAGTAGAAATGGGAGGTCTCATTAGATAATTGGGGACTTCTCTCGTCCATTGATATATAAACAACTGAGTGGCTGAGGCCAGATATATATTTTTTATTTGTATCTCGTTAGTACGAGAAGAAAGTAATTGAGAATTACTCCAACCATTACAGTTTTGATTATATTACATATACAACGTTGTCAGACAAACACTCTGCCCGTTTAATGGTCATCTTTACGGCAATTATACATATTTATATTAGACGTGGACTTACCCGTCAGCAATTTCTGGATATGTACCTTAATGATCTTCTCTATATTGGGTAACGTACGATAACTGATCTTTATAGAATTGATTGATGGATTATCAACCTTTTCCAGGTTATTTAAAGCCAGAAAATATTTTTTGTGATATTAATGATTTACTGGTACAAGTTTTACTAATTAACCCATAGATGCGGGAGAATTGGATTCATACCTTTCCAAAATGTATTTGCGCATAAGTGAATAAAACAAATTCAACTAGAATTGGAACACGGCTCTCCGATTAACAATTCCAAGCCATTACACCAGCCACACATCCAAGTTTACAGCACCTGGTATTCAAAAGTGGACACCCATCTATGTACAGACCAGGCTCAACGATGCTTAACTTCGGTGATCGTACGGGGGGACCGGTGTTTCAACGTGATGCGGACAAGCCTTTTAACAGTATTCTTCATCATCCGGCAGAAAGGCCTCTTAGTTCTGAGGAGCGTGGAATCACCTCTTAATTTCTGTCGTTCTCATGTGGTACCAATGGGCAAGTAATGAACCCCCTGAACTGGGGTCAAAGCACTACGAAAGTGTAGAAATACATTTTTATAGTGAAGGTAACAGTAAGACATTTTCATAGTAAAAATTTACCAGCAATACGTTTTTTAAGGAAAAAAAAATTACCAGCAATACAGTATTGTAAAAGGAAAATTTCCAACAATACATTTTTGAAAAAGGATCTGATATGCCGCTAAACAAACAAAACAAACAATTATATTCTTACTATTTTTATGAATTGCGTCATTAACTGGAAAATACTTTCTCAATGTGGTAAAGAATTTCTTGCCAATTTTGGTTTTCTCTTGTACATTGATCAGGAGATAGAATCGAATGAACTTTTCTTTTCTTCTTTGTTAATTGAAACCGATTTGACATCTCGGCATTTCAATAGATTTACATGGCACATTGCCTGTTCCATCGACTGATAAACGTGTCTTATATTTTACGGAAAATACATTCAGACGATGAGTTACGGGGCAACCTAATACCTATAGGTATCTCACCAATAATCTACCCACTGGTAGTTCGATTTGTCATTGACATATTGTAACACACAACTTTTTCCTGTACGATTCCACTATTTCATTGAGATTGTATTTAACATCGAGATATTCAACAGTTTTTAAGCCTTTATCGACATTAAAGCCAAATTCTTTCAATAACCGAAACAGCTTTTTTTTTTATATAATACTATCAATTTTTCTACCTGTGTTTCTTTCAATGAATACAAGGTCGTCATCTCTGTATCGACAGTTGTCATCTATTATATGAAATCAATCACAGCTTTCTGTGTATCAATCCAAATAACTTAAAGAAACGCCATTTTTCCACATTCAGTGAAAATATCAGAAAAATTGGAATTATATTTTTTGAGATATCGAAGTTTTAATTTTTGTTCTTTAATTTGGACACTACAAAATATTAATAATAAATATATATTTTTTACTGACTGTTGGGTACACCTCTTATTATCATGTATGCAGCAATCTCCAGATACGAATTCATATATATATATATATATATATATATATATATATATATATATATATGTATGTATAGTGCGACATGTTTCGTTGAATAATTTAGACGTTCTGTCTTCTTATTTTTAATTGGATCCATTCAGATTCACGGATAAACTTTTTGGTGTCGTTATTGAAAGACAAAAGAAAATTCCCGTGTTGATACATATTTGTTTTATTTCCGACTACTTTCGACATATCATATTGTGATCATCAGGGTGATGTTTATTACAAGATAAATATGATTATGACATTGTGATGTGTCGAAAGTACTCGGAATAAAAAAAAAATGTATCAACACGGCGATTTTCTCTTCATTAACCTTCAATAACGACACCAAAAAGTTTATCCGTGAATCTGAAAGGATCCAATTGAAAATAAGCAGGCAGAACATGTCTAAATTATTCAACGAAACATGACTTAATGAAGACATGCCGCCAAAATATCCGCATATATATATATATATATATATATATATATATATATATATATATATATGTGTGTGTGTGTGTGTGTGGCCTGGTGATTGCATCTACCATGAAACAGTCTGTCGCCTCTGAGTGCTGACTTCAATGTTCACTTTTATCATTACATACCCTCTATCCGTGATATTAAGCACTTTTATTCCATCAAAATAGCACACCTTAAAACTATATATATATATATATATATATATATATATATATATATATGTATGTGTGTGTACAAATAATAGAAAAGAATAATCATATTTGTAATCCAGACTTCTTTACCTTTTATTTTATTTAAAAAAAAAAAAAAAGTGCTCAATACAAAGTAGAGTATAATATAATTATTTTAAAAAATGTCACAATTGCGACACAGAAATTACTGTTTCGAAACCTAAATCTTAAAATTTAACTTTAATATATATATATATATATATATATATATATATATATATATATATATATATATATATATATATATATGGGAGATAACTCGATCTTTCCTTAGTTGTTGAAGTGGATGTTGCTTCCTCTCTCTTTAAGTAAAATAAATAAAAAATAAAATAAAATAAAAAAATAACAGTAAAAGAAATTTAACAAACCCGGAAGAATTTTAGGTGTAACTGTGTACGACAGGCGCGTCGAAAAATAAATATCTAATTTAACATACCTTATTGCATGCCATGAACGTTTTGTGTAGTTGCCAAGTAAAGATTTTTTTAATCAAGTGTTTCTTCTCGAAGAGAGAAAGTTATGTAAGAAATTTCTTGCGTAAGTCACTGTTTATAGAACGGAGTATTATTTCAGAGAAACTGAACTTTGGTAATATACGGATAAATGTTTTAATTTTTTTTTTAGCATTTCACCACAAGCAAGGCGATAAAGCCACTGAGACGCATGGGTCTATCGAGAGAAAGAAACTTAGAAAACCTTATGTAGGAGAGAGGACATTGATGATCGACGTTGCATTTAAATTTTTGAAGATTGTAGTTGATAATACTTTTGATAAAATACGTCATAAAGAAGAATAAATCTGTTAGTTTATCTTGACATATTTGGGAAGGATATTAGAATAATCCAGAACCTAGACTGGCAGAAAACTTTATGAAAACGGATAAAAAATGAATTCAGTAAATATGTAAAAATAGAAAACAATGAGGCGATTGTGAGGAAATCAGAAGTCCAACCAAGATTCATTATTGGCGGCCATAATCTGAACAAAATACGACATGCTGATGACACAGTGTTGATAGCAGATATGGAAATGAAATCACAATAACGCCTACAGAATTTGAGTAAAGGAAAGCGACAAGAAAGGATTAAACATCAACAGAAAGCATAGTTGTTAGCGAAAGGGAAAAACACGATATGCAAATTACCAAATAAAATACGAAAAATACCAAATTAAAACATGTACAAAAATTTAAATTTAACTTATCTTTCCTGTATATTTTTTGTAAATATTTTCATGTTAATTGTTATGATGAACTTTCCTCGTTGGTACCTAGACTTTATAAATTTAAGGGCAGTATTAGATTGGCAGAAAAGTCTCTTTTTATAGTCGAAATGGCTAAATGTAACCATAAGTTTTATGCAAACTTGCTAAATTTGATGTTAAAAAATTTAAATGCACTTCTGTTTTCTTAATTTTATTGTTCTCTCTTCTTAATAATGTTTTTTCTTATATTATTTCACACTCAATATAGTGGCTTTATTACCTTGCTTGGGGTGAAATAATTAAAAAAATGAATGCATTATAACATATGTCTAAGTAAGAAGAATGTGTTTTAAAGTCCCTATTATGATAGATAGATAGATAGATAGATAGAGACAGAGAGAGAGAGAGAGAGAGAGAGAGAGAGAGAGAGAGAGAGTGCGGGCAGGAAACATTGTAAAGTCTCTGTAATAGAAAAATGTGAAAATTAGTTTAAGTCAGTACAAAAGTCTGCATAGTAGATGAATTTGTGCCGAATGTTGGAGAGACAAAAGTGATACGAGGATATTTTTTCAGATAAGAAGAAAAGTGTGAACCCCCCCTCCACAGAAGATGGGCTTTTGGTTTTAGTCTAAAGTAATTTGATTGGCTAGAATATCATTTTTTTAATTGATTTCTTCCAAACGGAAGTTATGCGTGGTCCAGATGAGCAGAAACACATTTCTTTAGTCATTTATACTTACACTACGGAAGCGTTAACTTCAGATTCATGTCCAGGTCACTACAACTATTGTTATCAATTTTCAACGCAACACAGCTTTATTTCTAGCAGAAGGGACTGAAAAACTTTCCGGACGTCACTCAATTCAATGATTGCAACAACCTTTTTTTTAAACATCCTTCGTTAAATATAATGGACAAGGAATTTTAAATTTTTTTATTTATTTTCGCCAGCGTTCTTACATTTTTCCACTTGGTGGGAGTAGACGAGTACAAAAACTATCCAAACCGTCCATTGTCCGAAGCGCTTTCGACCACTTCTTTAGCCATTTTCAAGGAGATTAATTTAGGTGTAGTTAGTTTATTTTCATGTTTATACTGTGCGAGATGTGCGGTAATACAGTCGATTGTTAGATTTAATCCAATTGTTCCTATCAAATTGTGAAATGAAGGTCATTTTGAACAGTCTAACTCCCAGATCCTTTCACATGAACGTAGGTGTCCCCAAGGCTCTATCCTGGGTCCTACGATGTTTCTGATCTTTATCAATGATCTTCCTGACATCATCAGTTCACAAGTAGGCGTCTAGGCAGATGACACTACCATTTACTCCAGTCTCAATAGCAAATCTGTCAGAGCTGACAAAGTTAACCTGGCCGAGACTCTTGAAAAGGAGCTCCAATCAAATGCTTGTAAATTTTAATGCACCCAAAACGAATCTTTTCTCCACCATAGAGAAACTTTCCTGCCCGCCATCAGCATGGCAGATGCTAGACTCCTGGAGAGCAACACACTGCACCATGTTGGCCTCACGTTTTCAACTGACCTGAAGTAGGAGGACTACATAGATACAATAGCTGCATCTACTGCAAGGAAAGTTGGGTCACTGTGTCGTTCCAGAAGTTTTTTCTCGTGTTGTACATTTATAAATCTACCATTCATCTGTGCATTGAATACTACTGCCACATCTGATCTGGTTCTCCTGTTATTCATCTCGAGGTTCTTGACAAAATCCAATGAAGGATCTGAAACGTGTTTAATCTTGAATTGGCATCTCGACTTCACCGATGTGATATGGATTCAGTCTGTCTTTTCTACAAATGTGTTCATGAGAAAAGATTTTCCTCTCGTGCCCCGACTACGTGAATTTAAGCGTGCTGCTAGATTGACATCTAGATCTCAGCTATTTACTATTGAAATAGTTAAATGTAATCGCCACTTCTATTCCAACAGTTTCTTTTCTCGCACTTCCCGCCTGTGGGACTCCCTTCCGGTTACCACCATTCCTGATAACTACAATCTTCAAAAATAAATGCAACGTCAATCGCCATCTTCTTGAATTCCGTTCAGCTTTTATCCTTTCCTCAATCCCCTAGACTCACTCTTTTCTCTCATTTTCATTCACTGCAACATCCTTGAGTACTAGTGGCATACCCACCTTGTTTGGGGTGAAAGGGTTAAGAAAAGAAGAAATTAAAAAAAAATTAAGATTTTTATTAATTTTTTTGTGGGGTGGGGAGTCGCACAAGTGATTTCTTTCTTGGACATAGAGTGTTTAAAAACACTTCAAATGGTCTGTGGATCCGTGCATTTTCAGCTAATCTATGAGCCTTTATCAAGGATGTTTTTTTTTTGTTTTACTGAATATTTATTTTTATTTTATTTTTTGTTTTACTTTTGTTATTTTTACATGTACATATAGAGATGGGAATGTACTTAATTTCCGAACATGGTCAGCACTATGTGGCCATGTTCATAAATGATATTATTGAGAATTGGCTTCGTTTTTTTCTTATTAACCCTGCCATTATAATTAACCTTTTTTGCATGTGGATGAGTCTATTATGATCGTATTTTCCACAAGTATGTTGCGAACAGAGCTTGGTAGGTCTTCATGTGTATTTAATTATATATATATATATATATATATATATATATATATATATATGTGTGTGTGTGTGTGTGTGTGTGTGTGAAAACAATAAATTCAAATGACAAAATAGGAAAACCTATTTCCAAATAGAAAAGGGTTTGTCAAAAAGACGCTTTTCCGCTTGCCACCACCATTACTGTATAGTCTCTTCGCAATTTGAATTGTTTTAAAAAGCTATTTTTAGCATGTTAATAAAGCTTAAACATATGAAAGTGGATGGATTCATTTTTTTTCTCGGCTCTCAACCCATTTTAGTGAATTGATGTGGTAAGAGCAAATGAAAAATATGCACAGGAAATGTATTTCCAAGATTTATAATTAGACTCTGTTCGTCGTTATGACTTTATTTAATTTTTATTATTGTTTTGTTTACAGACATTTTTAATGGCATGAATAAAAAACGGTTATTATTACTTATTTCATTACAATGTGATAAATAATAAATTTCATAATCTTGTAAATATCAAATTATTCTTGAAAATAATCACAAGCTATAAGTTCGAATTCCAATCGGTTTTGTTACATTCACTTACGCACAAATACAATTGAGAAAGTATAGATCCAACATTTCTCCCTCCAGTTATTAGCAGGACGGACTGGGTCCTATAGCCAAGTGTTGCAACCAGTCTACCGCAGTAAAAAACGGCAACCTCCCGTGGGCAATTTTCTGCCCAGTCATTTATAAATCTAAAGAGACATGATAGTTCAATCGTGTATCACGTCTGGCACATAACTGAGTGACTGGATTGGCGGCAAAGTCTCAGCATTTGACAGTTGAAATGAATAGATGTTACCATAAGTTCTATGCTTACATTTTCTTCTCTCGGACTTCTCACTTGTGGAACTCCTTTTCGACCTCTGTCATTCCAGTCTAACTTAAAAAAAATTAAGTTCAATGTGAATCGTTACTTTTGGTCTTCTTAATTTCTGTTTTTTTTATTGTTTCTCTTATTCTCTCGCGCTCAGTACCCCCACCTTGCGTTTTAGTGGTTTTATTGCCTTGAAGTGATTTAAAGAATATTAATAAAGTGTACTGAATTTGTTATGTGATATCTCTCCTCATGTATAGCAGCGAATGCTGGACCATCTCCTCGAAGAACAGACTCGAAGCAACAGAAATGTGGTTCTACAGAAGGATGCTGAGGATACTATGGACCCAACAACGACGAGGTTTTGGAGAAAATGGAAACAAAAAGGAAACTTATACTTAACATTAGGAAGAGGCTGTTGAAATTTCTGGGGCACGTAATGAGAAAGGAGGGCTTGGAAAATCTAATACTCACAGGACAGAGGAAAAGAGTGATAGAAGAAAGCAGCGCGTTACATACTTGATGGGCTTGTGACAGGAAGATGTGGTGGGCCATGATCGCCTACGTCATGAATAGACATGGCACATAAAATAAGAATAGTATTTCTTGGTCCGCTTCCCTAATTCTAAACAAATGAACAAACCTTATATTATTTTTCGAAAAGCTTCTTTGTGGTGCTGAGGACTTTTCCGCGGGCTCTCGTATATGAATTGTTGCGTGTACTTACACTCTATATAAGCGAGTGTCTTGGGATATACATATCTGTCTGTTTGACATCTATTTTACATTAAGCAATGCCCTTTAGTAACACTAAATCTCTCCTGGGATTGTCATCCGCCTTCTCATCTTACAACGTTGACAAATATCTTTTCGGGGCCTCCTGCCGTTTTCCCGTGTTCTTTCCGCCATGATCCCTGTACTCTGTGATGTCTTTGAATATTCCCAGATGGAGCGAGGCTCTTTTCCGCACAGGAAACACACAATGGCGTTTGTTTTTACCGACTTCTCGGCTTGCAAACGACACCCGTTCCTCTTTCCCCAGCCAGTAATTACCCGCATCTTCAGTGGGCCCTGAAAATCTGCCAAGTATCAATCTTGTGTTAAGTTTTCATTTGAAAAAGAGATGACGAGGGGCATCATTTCGTTATGCGAAAAGGAACAAGTGAATTTTCTCTGGAACATGACTTTTTAAAATTCCGGCTATTACATTCTTGTCTCTCCTTAATAAATCTTTATAAAAGAAAAAAAAGAACCACTTCTGAAGCTGTTTATATGCAACGTTAGCTTAACTTTGCGTCAGTATATACAGAGATAGATAGCTTTGCCTGTCGTCCAGTTCATACTCCTCTCCAGTCTTTTCTGAGAGAGACGTTGGCAACAAACAGTCGATATTTTAGTGGTCCTTTCACAGCGCACTGTCAGCTAAAATTAGGATAAGAATCACTGATAAATTAATGCCTCATTATCCTCAAGGGAAAATGTTAATAGATATAAAACTTCCGAAGATATATATGTTTCATATATATATATATATATATATATATATATATATATATATATATATATATGTGTGTGTGTAATATATATATATATATATATATATATATATATATATCAGCGATCACTGAACATTTAATAAATTGCAGGGATTGTGCGAAGAACTTCAGTCCGAATTGGTTTACTGTACTGTCCAGTTCGCACTCTCCATTTCATTTGAGGGCACTTGAGTCTCTGTATATTCGGTCCAGGGAGCCGTCTCAGAAGAACCAACGGTAGATGCTTCAGCCAATTTGCCTGATCCGTCACAGATCTTAAAGCTGATTTAAGTGTACGATGAAATCGTTCCACTAAGCCATTAGCCTCAGGATGATAAGCGATGGTTTTGATTCTTTTACACCCCAAGATCCTCATCAGCTGGTTGAAAAGGTCTGACTCAAATTGTCGCCCTCTGTCTGTAGTAATTACAGCGGGGACCCCAAACGAGACATCCACCCTGAAGCAAAAGTCTTTGCTGTGGTATGTGCAGTAATGTCCGACATGGGAAGAGCCTCACAACAACGAGAGAAACGAGGAACACATGTCAATAGATATGTCTATCCCTCACATGAAGGGAGTGGTCCTGTGATGTCCACGTGCACATGTGCAAACCCTCTGACACGGCACACAAGTCTTTGACCATTGCCTAATGTCAGTTTTCATGCGTGGCCAAACAAATCTGTCTGTGATTAGCCGTATTGAGGCATTAGCCCCTGGGTGGGACAAATTGTGCATGGAGGAGAATAACGTCCCCCGCATTGACTCAGGCAAGAAGGGGCGCAATCGTCCGGTGCTGGTGTCACATACAGCTTCCATTTGTGTTTGGAACATGTATTTTCGACAACGTCAAGGATGTGTGGTTCTTTCGTATCAGATGCTGTAGTTGCTGATCTTTTTCCTGTGCTTTCACAAATGATTGATGTCCCAAGCACGGGTCCAGCACAAAAAGCATTTATGCCAAGAGACATAGTGTCTGCAGGTATGTTGTCCGTTCCCTTGACGAAACGGATATCTGAAGTGAATTGTAACAGATAATCCAAGTGTCTGGTTTCACGCGGGAAATACTTGTCAGAGTTTGACTGAAAAGCCCCCAACAAGGGCTTGTGGTCTGTCAGTAAGTATAAAGTCCGCCCTTCCAACAAATGTCGAAAGTAACGGACAGTTGAATAAGCTGCGAGAAATTCACTTCCAAATGTGCTGTACCTGGATTCTGGAGAAGTTAGTTTCTTGGAAAAGAAGGAAATTGGTTTCCAGTGGTCATCGATCTTCTGCTGTAGTACTGCACCCTGCACCCACACCAACCGAAGAGGCCTCAACTGCCAAACACAACTCGCTATCTGGGACAACACGTGACAATTCAACTACTCGGGACAATAAAACCATAATTCGATGGAAGGCTGCTAAGGCTTCGTCAGACAAAACTATGTCACAATTTTTTACATCAGTTAGAATATCTGTCAAAGGTTTTATAACCTGCACACAATTTGGCAGGAACCTTCGAAAAAAATTCACAATCCCTAAAAACTGTCGCAACTTTCATATGGTATCTGGCACGGGTAAGTCAGAAATGGCCGCCACTTTAGATGGAGAAGGTGAAACGCTAGCTGAATTAATGCGGTGACCTAGGAAAATAATTCCAGACTTTCCAAACTCACACTTTAGTGGGTTGATAACAACCCCAAATTTCTCAAAACGCTCGGAAACGAGCCATAAATGTTTAATATGTTCTTCCATGGAAGAACTGGCTATAAGAACATCATCCACGTAGGCACAGACAAAATGCAAACCGTGCAACCCATGGTCGATAAATCTTTAAAAAGACTGTGCTGCGTTTCTTAGTCCAAATGTCAAACGTAGGAACTCAAACAACCCAAATGGTGTTGTTATGGCAGTCTTTGGAATGTGTTCGGGTTCTATCGGAATTTGATTGTAGGCCCTGATAAGGTCTAATTAGTAAATATGCACCTATCCTGAATGATAGCCGTTACATCATGTATATGAGGAATGGGATAACGGTCAGGTTTAGTGGCAGAGTTGAGTGCCCTATAATCACATAAAGCGCGCCAGCTACCACCACTTTTAGGTACCAGGCGCAAAGGGGATGCCCACTTACACTTTGATGGCCGGATAATACCAAGTTCCATCATTTGGGTAAATTCCGCTTTCGCTACACTCAATTTTTTCCGGTGCCAGACGACTAGAAAGGCTTTGAACAGGAGGACTGCTAGTAGCAATGTGGTGTGTTATATTGTGGGGTAGACTATCTTTGTGAAAAGCCGGTTTGGTAATGCTCTCAAACTTTTTAAAAAGTTCACAGAACATAGGGTTATCTTCTGTGTTAGCCAAAGTAGGACATAATGGAATTACATTATGAATGGCTCCCGTCGATTGAGTATTTGTCTTAGGCTCTGTCAGACAACGTCTGTGAACATCAATGAGAAGACCAAATTTTTGTAAAAAATCTGCACCCAATATGACCTTCTCTAAGTCTAGATGAGCAACTTATTCACGGCCTGCAGGGTAAGTTTGTGAGGGCCTTTTAAGTTGTCTGCCCTAGTGGCAGGAATTAAAGATATTTGCGCACCACTGTCCACAAGAAAACGTAAACCAGTAGTGCGGTCCGAAACAAATAGTAGGGGGGCTTACAATAATTAGCTCTATCTTCGGATTTCCTGTGTAAGTAACACATTGGGTCCTTGCTAAAAGCTTTTACACGACCTCTACTTTGGGAGCGGTGAATGCTAACCTTCTGCAACTGTCTCTCTAAGTCTTCCATCCTAGCCTCTAACCTTCGTTGTCCCTCCAAGAGTCTAGCCAGCGGATCTGGCTCTTGCGTCTGTACAGCAGAAACGGGAGCAGTGCATCCCGAAGTTAGGTCAGCTACATTATCTGCTATTTTAGTCAGCATTTCGACGGGTGCATCTTCACCCACCGCAGCTAAAACAGCGTGATACGCAGAGGGCAAACGCTGGAGAAAAATATGACGTATAATGCCATCCTCATTACCTTCCCCGGCTAGATGCTGCAAACGACGTAAAAATTGCGACGGCTTGCTGTCTCCCAATTGTTCCTCATGTAAAAGCTGCGACAATTTCTTTTGCCGTGACATAGATGTCCTCCAAACAAATTCCTCTTTTAACTTGTAATATGGCTTGTCTTTCGGCGGAGAGATAATAATTTCTCTCACCTCCTGGACAGCTTCAAGAGGCAACTTGGAGACCGCTAAATTAAATTTTGTTTTCAGAGAGGTACTTCCTCTCGGTTCGCACTTCGACTCTAACTGTGCGAAAAATAAAGCTGGGTCCTCTTTAAAGTAGGCTAGGCTGACAGTGTTCACCGCCGACACATCGGCCAATTTTTCCTCATTCATATCGTATATTCTTTATGGGGATAGTCACCACACAGAAATACGCCTCACAATGCGAAGTACAACAGAAAAAAAAAACACAAACTAACGAACCTAAATATTTTAAACAAAAAGTCAGAAGTGGCTATCATTGCTATTACCACCCTCCTACACCCACTAATGGGTGTTGTCAACTCTAGTAGTAAGCTACTGACGTTAACATGAAGTTAACACTAACAGATATTTTGCAAATTGCAAAAATATTCTGACACGTTAGAGTCACCACTTATTAGTATGGTATTATCTGCAACACAGAGTTCACCGACTATTTTGTGTTAGGAAGAATAACATGTTTTACTCTTCCAGTAGCACACCGATAAGAAGGTTAGCATTAGTGTAGCCATTGATACACTAATACTGAATACGAATATAGAAAGACGAAATACGCGAACGTAACAAACAAAACATTTAATAAGGCAAACAACTTACACACATATATTAAAAAGATTTACAGATGTCCCAAAACAAATGATTGTCCATATTGTCCCAAAGAAACGAGGAGGTTTACAGAACGAGAAAAGAATAACATACCAGCTATATGGCCTTTGATAGTCCGCAGATAAGTGAATGGAAATGACTTTTTTTCTTTCGCTAGGCCGTGCACATGTTGACCAGTTTCCACGTGTGTGGACGCCCTGGTGGCCAGGAAGGTAAAGAGGCTGTTCCTCCAAAAAACGGAAGCAAAGAAAAAATATCAGAAGAGTTCTACTCTATAAAGGGGCCAAAACTCCCATGAGCTCAAACCAAGGGAAAACAACTGTGGTCTCCCTACACGTTTATTGAAGGTCGTTCTCAACGGACTCTCCTCCAGCTCCTATCCCACATCCCCAAGGTCCTACTCTGTTACATATCTTCATTAACGATCTTCCTGATGTCATAGTTGGCATCTATGCGGACGACACTACTATTTACTCCTGCCTTAAAAACAAATCTAGTGTCGCTGACAAAACTAATCTGGCCGTTTGTCTCGAAAAGGACATTCAATTGGTTGTTGAGTGGGGCAGGAATTGGCTGGTTAACTTTAATGCCCCCAAAACAAAAATTACTCTCTCTTATTCAGCATAGAGAACCATCGCTGCTGCTCGTTAGAATGTCTGACGCTCAACTCCACAAGAGCACCTCTTTGTGACTGCTCGATCTCATTGTCTGCTGACGTGAGATGGAACAAATACATTGAGTCAATAGCTTCGCCCACCTCAAGGAAAGTTGGCTCCCTGTGCCGTACCAGGAAAATTTTCTCGCCGGAGTCGAGCGTTCAAATCTACAAATAAACCACTCGCCCTTGCATGGAGTATTGCTGCCATACATGATCTGGAGCCCCTTCTTTGTTTGTCTCAAGGTCACTGATAAAATCCAGAGACGGATATGCAATATAATTGACCCTGATCTGGCATCTCGTCTGCAGTCGCTCTCTCATAGACGTATCGTCGCCTCCCTCTGTCTTTTTTTTACAAATACTTTCATGGTAACTGCTCCGATGAGCTGCTTTCGCTGGTTACGAGACATCATGAATTTTAGCGTTCAACTAGGCTGGCATCTCGCTCACACACTTTCACTGTCTAAACTGTTAAATGTAGCCGTCTCTTCTATTACAATAGCTTTCTCTCTCGCACTTCTCTCCTGTGGGATTCTCTCCCCATTTCTTGTTTCCCTGATAGCTATAGTCTCCAACTATTCAAATGTAATATTAATCGACGTCTCCAGATGCCTTGATCTATCCCCTATCCTTCTCTTCATCCTTTCCTCTATCACTCCTCTTTGCTCTCGCTCCAACTCTCTGTAACCCCTTGCGTGCTAGTGGCTTCCCGCCTTACTTGGGGTCAATCGCTTAAAAAAATGATTAAAGATATCTCACAGAAATTCTCCGAGGTTTTATAACACTATTGAACTCTACTTTGAACAATAAGATCTTATTTAGCTCTAAGTTGAAATGATGATCCATCTTCCTGTTTTGACCTGATCCTGTTTTCCTCTCTACTGTTCCCTCATTTTTAAACTTATTTACCGTTCTATTCATGGTTCTTGAATGGACTTTGAAGATGGAAGTCAGAGTATGAATGTTGGTACCATTACTGAAGGCCTCTCATCATTGCTCAGTTGGGAAGACATAATGGGGATGGCACAAAAACAATTTTAACCTGTTCTTATTCTAGCAGAAAATCTCAAAGTTCAGTGATTCTTACGACAAATTGTATCAAGATGGCTAAAGGTCTTATCTGAAAACGTGGAAAAGAGAAACTCACTTTAATATTTAATTTTTTATTAACGATTTTGTGGGACGGACAATTATCCCATGCTGTTACAAGATTTGAACAATTTTGCTGATGCACTTATATATATATATATATATATATATATATATATATATATAATTTGCTGCCTAAATACATAAATTTTCAATTATATAATGCAGCAGAAACTGGAAATTTAAACGTGGCCTTGTGAAAAAGCAGACTGAAGTAGATAATGGTAACAATAACTCTTAACAAAAAAAAGCAGGAGAAAACATTTCTTACATCAGTTAATTGCAATACACGAAACGCTATCTGTAAGTATGAACGGATTTTATTAAAAATATGCAGACATAATGTCTGTAATTTATTTAATCAGACATGCCTAATATATATATATATATATATATATATATATATATATATATATATATATATATCAAAGTGAACATTGAAATCAACATTTAGAGGCGACAGGCTGTTTCACATATATAACACACCTTAAGATTATATTTCTTCATCTTGAGTACTTTTTCCTAGAAATATAGCTTACTTAAAAAACTTTCATCATCATTTTCATCAACATCATCATCATATATCTCTCTCTCTGTCTCTGTCTGTCTGTCTGTCTGTCTCTCTCTCTCTCTCTATATATATATATATATATATATAGGCCTCACACTTATACCCCCCACACGAACATACACACTTAAACACATCATACCCACTCCCTAATGAACCAAATGATAACACGCACCCATATACACGCTTACACACATCATACTCACTCCCTCCCTAAGAACCAAATAACACACACACACACACACACTTAACAGAGACACATCTTTCCAGGAACCAATAAAACTGTCAAAATGACCAAGGGAATTCAGAGCCACATGAATCCATCCAGCTCTTATCTCATATAACATAGAGACTGTTTGACCAACACAAAGACTGACCAAAATTCATGTTAAAAAATACAAATAAAAAAACAAATGAAAACTACAGACAAAAGTTCATTTTCTCCATCAAGACATTCATTTCTGTAGTTCACTGCTACCAGCAAGCAGAAAATTATTTTTCTCCTGATGATGGCAGAAACTAGTCGAGGAATCTAAATGAAATAATAATAAAAACGAAGGAATATTAATATACAACCCAGTGTGTCTGGAGATTTTAATTTTTTAATATTTTTTTATTGTTCAATATATATATATATATATATATATATATATATATATATATATATATATATGTGTGTGTGTGTGTGTGTGTGTGTGTGTGTTTGTCAGCGGACTTTATTAGTCTTATCTCTGTTGTATCTAGGGTATATCCTGCAGAGATAGAATTGAAAAGTTAAACGCTCATGTGTTTATTCGTGTATCTTTTTAAAATCTTTATGTCATTACTGAGGCCGGCTTATTCATTTCCACACTGTAGGAGAATCGAGACATTTTCTCTTTCGTATTGTTCACATGTCTCATACATCATATGCAGCAACATCCCCAGGAATATTTTCTACCCTGCAATGCTTAGGGAGTTGTTTCGCATTGCATCCACCCACGCTAAAATTTCAGAATTTTCTTCCCAAAGTCAAAAGTGAAAAGATTTTTAAACCATATAAAAAAGCAAAGTGTGGGAAATCCCGCATTTAAACGTTGTCTTTGGGTCATCGATGGCTAAGAGAAATGTTTTAGCCAGGTCTTTCCACTCAAAGGAGGAAATAATCAAAGGACTTTTCTAAAATACAATCCCAACTGGTAAAGGAAATTTGTTATCTCTTCACTGCTCTCCATATAAGTGTAAAGTACAGGTGTGATTGTTGGACCACCTACGTCAAAGTAAGCTCGAAAAAGTGTCGAAATCCTAACGTAGGTCTCGAACTGAGGAACTACATCACCCTTTATATATCCAATAAAAATCTGACTCTCCTCGCGAATATTCGACCCCATTTGTTTTGTTATATGTCGGTATATATATGTACATCCTTATGAAAATTAATTGAAACAAACACTTAAGTCTCTTCCCTTTCAACATTCTTTTAGATCCAGAGCAGTGACAGGGTGTAATCTATTTCTATTTTTTTCCTCAGATTAAGTCATTTGAAGTGGTGTACAGTAATATGAATCTATTTTCGGGGTGTATGCTGAAATTTGTTTGGTCTTGAAAAATACTGCGTCATCCATAATTGCATCAGATTTTTATCACTAGTGTCTCGACTGTCGATTAGTTATCCTACGGCTATTGTCTGTGATGGACGTTGCTCCAAGAAAGCGCACGAACATTGTATCGCTGCACGAACGCACTGGCAAGTCTCACCAGTGAACAAATCAGAGTACTATAAACTCTGCTGATTTAAATCCAATCGAGAATTTGTGGTCAATCTGCAAGGAACGACTTCGTGGAATGGATATACGGAGTACTAACATGTTCAGTGGGTCATGTTTCTTTGGTAAAATATTAAAATAGTAAATAATAATGGAATTATTCGTTTTGTGTCAATTAATTTGCAGAATGGTGTATGTCTATTCACATACATGTATATGCATATATGTGAATAGACATTTTTTAAAATGATTTAACCCCAAGTAAGGCAAGAAAGTCAGTAAGACGCAATGGGTTACTGAGTATTAAAGAATACGAGAAAAAGAAAAGAAATATTATTAAGAAGAGAGAAAATGAAGTGAGGAGACAGATGACGAGGTATCGCAATCAACAGCATCACGTGATTAG